CCCCAAAACCCCAAAACCCCAAAACCCCAAAACCCCTAATGGTTCACCAGAGTTGAAAAATCCAGAAATATTTAATAAAAAATTTTCACCTAAATTGATAAAAACTAGTCCATATTATATGAAACTTGGGACTTGCTCTATTCTTTTTTAATTATTTTGGGTCAGGAAATAATCGAAAAATAGCAAAAGGAAGTAAGTTTTAATTTTTACATCATAGGAGTCAGTGTTTATCATCTTGCTGGATACCTGTCAGGCCTCTCTTGGTTTTCAAAGTTGGCATGAAGCCCGATAGTCTCGTAATATCCTTTGAATTCACTTTATTACTTTCTTATAAGTAAAATAAACTTCTCCTTGCTATTTTCATCCGTCTCGCAGTAACTCAGGACCTTCATATTTAGAGTAATACATCCGAATATGTTAGCTTAATGAAATTTCATATTATTCAAAAGAAAATCTAATTTTAGTCAACAAGGCTATAAGCCTTGTTTTTACAGCATTAAGAGATTCTTTGGAGTTATAAGACTAACAAGCATGGTCTTTATGGGAGTTAGACCATGTCTGAGGATTTCTTTGTCCCCTAGTCTAAATCCAGCCGTGATGGTAAAACTCGTAAAAAACCGACAAATTCTTTTATGAAATCTCTAAAACTGGAAGAAGGCTTTATTCATTCTAGCAGACGTCTTGTCCATATTTAACATTTTTCTTGGGATATTTACCCAGCCTAGTTTAAGGGATTATTAAGATCCGGAAATTTTTACCTTGTTCTTCAGCTTATTTTCGAAATACCAACGCATTTCGAATCACTAGAAATTTTTTAAGGAGATAAGCCAACTGAAGTAATTTAGACGCTAAAATTCCTTCGTAACAGGAATGTGCATGCCTGTAAGACACCTCAGGCCACCCCTTTATGTTCCAAACAGGGCTTTTGAATCCCTACTGTATCACCAGAATGTGATCTGAGTTACCTTCTTGAACAATTTTAGCACAGATTTTTATAAATGGTGACTATCAAACTGTGTCTAACCGTTACATACACTTGCTGTAATATAATTCAGAATTATTACTCAGTTTAGAAATAATTTAAAATTCTTGACAAAAGCTACAGTTGAGAAAGCCAATTTTAGAATTAGTCGACACTCGATTTGAATAAAATTATTAATGCAGAAAGTTATGAAACCTCCAATAAGGAGAGTCACTTGAAGACTGTAGATAAGCTAATCATTATCATCCACTTATAAGGAAGAGAAATTTGCCTTCGAACTTCGATGGGGTCAGTTAATCTCTGTTAGGTTTTATAAATCATGAAGCGAAATATTCTATGATCACCAAGATTACCTTAGATACTAAAGTTCACTTAGTTAAGCTTTCTTGGCTCTATCTTTCCTTGAAGCATTCTCCCCTTGTTCCATAATCTTTTGCCCTAATCTGGCAGGTTCTTCACCCAAACTTCGGTCTGATTCATGCTCAAAAGGGGGCAAAATCCTTATTTTCAGACAAAAATTGATGTTAAGAATCATTTCAGAGACTGAGGGAAACTTTCTCTTCGAAACAAAGCAAGAGTTTTCAGCCAAGGGAATTCTCAGCTCATTCAGAGTTGAGTCCATCAATTTGGGTGCCAAATTTCACCTGAAAATAAGCGGTCATTATAAAGTAGGGTTGTCCCAACTCGTACGAATTAACCCAAATATCTTTATTTTTGGTATAATATTTATGAATATCAAAAGACAATCGAGTGATTCAGACTGGAAATCTGAGTAAGCTAATCAACCAAGAAACTTTAAACAGTGGAGGTTCTCTTCTCTGAATCTGATGGGTACTTTTTATTATTTCTCATTTCAGCAAGTTTATTCCAAATTAATAGAGAGAGCTTGGAATCATCTCTCTTTTATTCAGATCTCATTCAAAATCGTTTAGATGGGCTCTATTTGGCAAACTAGCCCCCTTTATGCAACCTATAGAGTCTACAGCCAACCTGAGAATGAGAAGAAACCTGGTAAGGTTGATAACCATATTGTAGGGAGATTGAAACGTCCTAATTTCTCCTCTGAAATCGTGAAGTTGCTCACTAAGTGGGTCAGAGACCATCCTGAGTATCCGTATCCAAACACCAAAGAGTTTGAAATTCTTCGTGACAGGACAGGGCTGAGCGAGAAGCAACTCAGAGTTTGGTTCACTAATACACGGAAGGTACGCAGAAGTCTGATAATTAATAGAGGAAACTCAAAATAACTCGTGAAAACTTCAGGATGAAGCAGAACACCTTCATCAGAAATCAAGTTGAGGTTCAAGAACCTGTTATGTTGGTGAGTGTTGTTTCTGAAGATTTCACTTTGTTATGATATTTACTATTAGTTTTAGAAATAAAGCTCCTGTGCCTACCTTTGATCAAGAAGTACAGACAGATATAATTGTTAAAGAAAATTTAGGGAGTCATCAACAAGGTGAATCTCAGCAAATGTTCCTAAGCAATGAGAGTCTGCAGTCATCACAAGCATTCATTAAGAATGTCATCTTCGTTGCTGAGGTGGTTGACCTCAACGAAATGTGATTATGAGACGACACCTTAACTCAATATCTAACTAAGCTCGGTTACTGACACTGCTCAAGCTTATTGGCCGGCTTAAACTTTGAGCATCAAATTAGCTAGTCTTACATGGATCAGCTTCTATCATAATTGATTTCTAAGAACTTAGATTACATATTTCTATCAAACGTGAAGCCTACGCTTATTCATAAATGTTGAGAATATATCAGGGGTTGGACATATTCACATTTCCTAGGCCCTGCGTACTTTCGATGCTGCTCATAACTAAGCAATCTAGTACAATCTAGAGCCTATACTTATAGATGTGGCGTTCAATTAGTCCTAAAAGTGAGCGGCTTATAATGGGTTTACAGCAGTGCTCGCTATTTTCTGTGAAGGCAAAGTTGAGTGATGAATTGTTAAATTGAAAATTTTTCTTTTATAGATAAACCGTTGTGAAGCCAAGAACTGGATTTTATACCTTACGTATGCGCCAGGCTCTGGTTGGTCCAGTATGAGCTGTGGATAGAGTTAAAGGCTTAGGGATGTACTTCAGAAAGATCAATTCACTGCCTCTATGGAGTAAAAATCTAGTAATCTGATAAAGACTGTAATAAGAGGAGGTAGTAAATAGAGCCCATGAATGCAACCTTGTCAACTTGGTGGAACATCAAGGGAATAGACATACTTCACATTGTTGAGATCCCAAGTTATTTCAAAATTTTGTTATTCAGAGCAAGAAGCAGCTAAAACTAGTGAAATAGGAAAGATTTTTGATCGACCATCGCTCGAATTTTCTTGGCCGCTTGCTGTAACAAATTGATGGTCGCATCATTCTTAACATATGAGTTCCGGATTCACTAAGAGTGTTGTTAAAATATGCTAGATGTCCCTTAAACTAATTTTGGTGTTTTACAGAATATTGTAGGTATTCTGAAGCCTGTTTCGATCGATTTGGAACATACTAAAACAAATGGGCTTCACCAAAACGCCATATTATTGAAATTTCAATCAAATGTGATACATCTGGGGTTTTGGGGTTTTGGGGTTTTGGGGTTTTGGGG